ATATAATATAATTTAATGTGGTCTTGTTGAATAAAAAAATATACATATATAAAATAAAATAAAAATTTCCACTTACCCCTTTAATTAAAGGAAGTGAAAGTTAAGTAAAGGCGGTTCCATCTGTCACATGTCTCCTCAGATCTGTCGACGGATGAATGGTATCCGCTTCACCAGCTGTAAAAGTGCCAAAGACAGGACGTCCATGTCAGTGACACTGGAGCAGTGCTCTCTGCTGAGGGACGAGCACCAGCTCAATAAAGATTACTTTGTGCGAGCTCTGGACTGCATGCGGAGGTAAGTACCAGCCATTTCTGCGTAGATCTGTTCTCCTCATATGTGCATGCATTATAGGAATAGTTCACCCAGAAATGACAATTTGCTGAAACTTTACTCGCACTCAGGCCATCCAAGATGTAGATGAGTTTGTTTCTTCATCAGGAGTAAATTACATTTTACAATATATTAACATAAAAAGCAGTTATTTTAAATTGTAATAATATTTCACAACATTTCTGTTTTTACTGTATTTTGGATCCAATAATTGCAGCCTTGGTGAGCATATGAAACATCTTTTAAAAACCATTACAAAATTATGGTATTATGGAAGTGCACTGTGTTAATATGGATGCATTGTGTGAGTGCAAGTGAGTCCAAGGAAGCTGTGGGAACATGCTGGTATTGACAGAGTTTGGAAATGTAACCTGTTTTTGTCCCAGAGACCGTTACACTGTCGAGGTGCCTCTCCCACATCATGCCTTCCAAACGCTCCCGGATGAGCTGCGCCAGGGCAAGCCGCTGCGCGTGCTCCCCGTGCTCTTCAATGTGGGCATCAACGAGCAACAAACCATCGCTGAGAGGTACAAGCACTGACTGATAGAAGTGGAATTCAATCCCTACAAGCATAAATGCTCAGTGAAGCGTGTCTGAGCTGGAACATGATGCTTGTGCTCTCTGTGTGTCTCCCCCTCAGATTTGGTGATATATCTTTACAGGAGAGAATAAACCAGAAGAACTTCGAGATTCTTGAAGGTTACTATAAATCCTTAACCAACACGCTGCCATCTGAATGTAAGTTCATCATTCGAGAAACTGAGCTTTTTATATTGCATTTAGTCATTCATCAGTTACTTTTATTCAAACATTGGGAACAATATATTTAGAAACTAGTTATCAACTTGGTATTGTGCACTGCAAAAATGATTGATGTTGATATTAAAGTTGCAAAAAAAAAACTTTTCACTTTCTTTAGTCAGAAGTCAAAAAGAGCTTTATTGTCAAGTATGTTTGCACATACAAGGAATTTGTTTTAGTGTCACATGCTTCCAGTACACAGAGACAACAACACACAGATAATAAAAAACACGCATATGTATATATAAATAAACAAAATATTGAAAAATAAACATTTCTGCAACATTCTTACTATTTCTCAACATTCTTTTAATTTATTACATTTATTTCTTTTAATTTTGAGGATGAACTGAGAGTCACCCATAATAAAAAAAAAAAAGATTAATACTGAGACTGTCATGTTTCAACTCAAATTAACTACTGTAACTGTAAAAAAAAAAAAAATAGATTTACATTTTATTATAATGGGACTTTTATCAAAAATTTTAACATTTATACAAGATATTTATAATGTTACAAAAGATTTTTCTGTTAAATTATTTTAAATAAATGCATTTGAATTAGAAAATTTGAGTGTGTGTGTGTGTGTGTGTACATATATATACAGTATATATATTTATATATATATACACACACATTATAAATCTTTGATAGTGGGCTGATAAAGAGATTTAAATCAAATCAGGAAAATGTTTTAATATATTTTCATATTGAAGTCTACATTTATCACTTAAATTTTGTTATTTAAATTTTGTTATTATGTGTTTGTTATTTCTGAAAACGAAAAAACAAAAAGCCTACAGTCGACTGATTTTGTTTTTTAGACCAACTTCTGACAATGGGCATTCATGCGACACTTCTGCAGTGTCTGTGTCGAGCGCAGCGTCTCATGTTTAAAGGATTTGAGTGCAGGAATTTATTGTTCTCTGATATGTCAATCACGTCTATGGAGTGTGACGGCTCTAGATGATGAATGCTCCCAGCAGACGAATGCCAAGCTGCATCGCAGCATGTCACATCTTGTCTTCTTTCCATCTGCCTGTTTATCAGAAAAATAACATGTCCCCAGACTTTTCAATCTCATCTTTAGTGCTTGTCGATACAGGGACAAACAAGCCCTCTTTAAACCTGTTAATGCATGACATCTCAAGTGTCTGCTCTTTTTCTCTCTTCTTTCCGAAGGCCTGCCATGTTTTCAGACACAGACAGACATCAAGGAACTGCTCGACACCCTCGGCCAGAATGTAGTCACCAAGAAGAGAAAGAACGTGGAGATCCTGTGGCTTGCGGGAATGGTGAGGCTGAGTTTGAGGTCATGGAGTCTGCAGGAAGTGTGTGCAATTTGTTTCGTAACCTCACATTTGGGAAACATTGGGTTGCTGAACGAGCATTCAAATCAGTGTTCTGTGAGGGTCAGCATTTCAAGTAAGAGATTGTAATCTTTAACATGAGTTTCAAGAGAGTAATTACTGGCTTATAAAATGTAGCACTTTTGGTCTTTTGTTTGTGTGACCAATATATACACAACCATTGAAATGTTTGGGGGTAAGTAAGGGGTAAATTTTGTCTTGTTTTGTTTTATTTTATTCAACAAGGCCACATTAAATTGACATAAGTGACAGTAAATACATTTATAATGTTACAAAAAAATGTTGATTTTTTTTTTTTTTCAAAGAATGGTGTTCTTTTGTACTTTCTGTTCTTCAAATAATACTGTATTTTTGATC